TTTCCTCTCTCTCTCTTTATTTCTTTTCTTTTTTTTTAAGATTTTATTTATTTATATAAGACAGAGAGAGAGAGAGAGAGAGAGAGAGAGAGCACAAGCAAGGAGGAGGGGCAGTGGCAGAGGGAGAAGCAGACTCTCTGCCGAGCAGGGAGCCCGATGCAGGACTCGATCCCAGCACCCTGAGATCATGACCTGAGCCAAAGGCAGACGCTTCACCTACTGAGAAGCTTAACCAGGAGGCCCCCTCCCTTTTTTAAAGATTTATTTGTTCATGAGAGAGAGAGAGAGAGAGAGAGAGAGAGAAAGAGAGAGCTCATGCGTGCACAAGCAGGAGGGGCAGAGGGAGAGGGAGAGAGAATCCCAAGCAGACTCACCACTGAGCGCTGAGCCCCACATGGGAATGTCGATCCCATGACCTCGAGGTCATGACCTGAGCCAAAACCAAGAGTCTGATGCTCAACAGACTGCGCCACCCAGGTGCTCCTTTTTTTTTTTTTTTAAAGTAGTCTCCTCACCCCATGTGGGGCTTGAACTCATGACCCTGAGATCAAGAGTCGCACGCTCTACGTCTGAGCCAGGCCAGCGCCCCTCTGCTTCACTACCTGACTCTGTGTGAACCCCAAGGCTGCTCTGAGCCCGTCTCACCCCCTACAGGATGGGCACAGGAGGCCTGATGAGATGACCATGGTCAGGAGGACCGCGGTGGCAGGTAGAACATCAATGGAGCACCAAGTCAGCGCTAGGCACGGGGGCGGGGCTCCACCACGGTCTCTCCCTCTAGGCTACATTATTCCCATTTTCCAGGCGAGGCAGTGGGGAGTCAACGAAGGTAAGGAACGTTCCCAAGTTTCTCGCAGCCATGAAGGACTGCAGGACACCCGAGGGGCTCTGATCCGAGGCCAGGAGGACCCAGACATCACCGTTTCACACAAGGCTAAGGGCCCTGGCTGAAGGGAGGACAGCCTTCTCACCACTAAAGCACATTTGTTTCTTTTTGCTTTATAATATAGTTGATACTCGTTTTTGGTGCAGTTATTGGAATCGCTGCAAACACTGAATTTTTTTTTAAAGATTTTATTTATTTATTAGAGAGAGAGAGAATGAGAGATAGAGAGCACGAGAGGGAAGAGGGTCAGAGGGAGAAGCAGACTCCCCGCCGAGCAGGGAGCCCGATGCGGGACTCGATCCCGGGACCCCAGGATCATGACCTGAGCCGAAGGCAGTCGCTTATCCAACTAAGCCACCTAGGCACCCATTGCTGCAAACACTGAATTAACAAATCTAAACCACTGCTCCTCAGGGACATGGGGGATGAGGTTTCTGCAAGCCCTGATCACATTTTCGTCAGCTGGACAATAAACAACTTCATTTCATGTGTGTTTCTATTTAAAGGCACTTTGATAGGGGCGCCTGGGTGGCTCAGTTGGTGAAGCGTCTGCCTTCGGCTCAGGTCATGATCTCGGGTCCTGAGATCGAGCCCCGCATCAGGCTCCCTGCTCGGCGGAAGTCTGCTTCTCCCTCTCCCTCTGTCTGCCGCTCCCCCTGCTTGTGCGCGCTCTCTCTCTCTCTGTCAAATAAATAAATAAAATATTTTTTAAAATAAGGACACTTTGATATATGTTGTTGATTCTGTAATACTCCTTGATGCCGAACTCACACGGAAACTTGAGATAGCTGTAAAAAATTATTTCCCGAAAGCTTTCCCAGATTTTAGCCCAAGTTCCCAGTTGGGGTGGTTGTAAGCACATGATGCCTACAGCAACATAGCCTGACTCCCAGCTAACAGGAGCATCCTTCATACCCCCGAGAGTTACGAACATCATCTTCAGACTGGATGTACTTCTTATTCCTGACATTAATAATACCTTTCCTTCCTCCCCTCCCCCACGCCCACCTAAATCTGACCAGACCAATGGCAGGAGCTAGTGGAGGGCAGGCAGCGGGGATCTGGGGACACATGTACCACATTCTGTGTTCATGTATCTTACTTATAACGACTACAAAATACCCCATCAAGGCTACACCACCGTCACTTAACCAAATGCCTATCCTTCAAGAGTTGAACTGTTCCTACGTTTACTGCTATATATAACACTGTTCTGAGCATCTTTGTGCATAATGCTCTTTCCAAATTTCAGAGGATTTCCTTAGAGACAGTTCCAGAAGCAGAATTCCTGGATCAAAGGCAAAAGCCTTTTAAGGCCTTAGATACATATGCTGGAGAGTCTCCCGGGATGTCAGCGCACAGCCGTGCGTGAGCGCATCCAGGCTAGCCAACCCGGGAGGAATGCTTCATTAATCAGACTCACTGAAAATCCCCACAAGAGCTTCAGATCGGCAGAGGCTCCCACCAGGGTGACCACACCGAGCGGACATGATTCTGTACCAAAATGAGGTGTGCGGCATTTTCACGGCCTTCTACGCTCCAGGGTAGGGACTTAAGCTTCTTTTGGGCCACTCTGGAAGATGGAGAGACCTGATGACACAGGCTCTGGGAGCCAAGATGCACCCCCCCCTTGACCCCGGACTCTAAGTGGGTGACCCTGCCCTCTCTGCTCCTGTTGGGCTTTTCCTAAATGTGCTCAGTGTGTTAACTGTAGTTATGTGGGCATTTATTTGTTGCTTGAAATTAAGGTACAAGAGTCCCCAGAAAGACCTGTTTACAAAAAAACAAAAAAGAAAAAAAAATCTAAAAGCAAGAATTCCTCTAACAGCTAAACATCTTGTCATAAAGAAAGGTAAACGTAACCTGCATGCATTCTAGGCAAACAGATCTAGATCTGAATCCTATCTGGAGTCTGGGTGGCCTTGGGCTGGGGTCCTCTCGTACTCATCTGTTACCCAGGGTGCTGGCTCACTCCCAGCGCCCAGGTGGCAAAATGACTTAGAACATGGGCTCAAATAGCTTCTTTTTCCTTCCTAGGTGAGAAAGGATGGAAACGATTGGCTCATGAGAGGGTAACATCATTTGTCACCCGAGCCAGGACACTTTAGAGGGAAGCGGGCATTTGTTAATAATTGCTGTGGTTCAAACAGTGTAAACCCAGGACACGAAGCAAAGAGCTGCTCTCTCACAGTGCAAACTTCGTCAATGGATGGACACTTATCTACAGCACGTTCTGTGCCAGGCACTGGGCAGGTGCCTTTGCCTGCTGGCTTGCTGGCTCCTCACACCAGCCACCTCGCAGCTGTTCCTCCTTTACGGCCGGGAAGGGGGTGCCCAGAGAGCCAAAGCAATTTTCCTGATGCCACACACACCAACCAGTCCCAGCTAGGTACTAATGAAACCGAGCACCCAAACGAGCCGCAGTGACACAAAGTGCTCCTGGACATCCCTGGTGGGGTCAGTGAAGGGAGGGCTGGCCAGGGCCGGGAGGAGCAGGAGTGGCCTGAAGGTCCTGAGCTGAGAGGCATCCTGGCTCTGAGAGTGAGTGCCCGGGCTGGAGGCTGGGTGTGTGTGTGTGTGTGTGTGTGTG